TCAGGCAAACCTGCAGGATTCATGTCAGCCAGCAGCTCCACATGTGAAACGTGCCCCCCTGTTTTGCCGGTCTCAGGCTTCATGATGACTTAAAGCGAGAGGTTGAGCGTTGGGCGACAATATTTTCGCTATCACTTTCTCGTATCACTCGTACATGTAGTGGCACTCTCTGCTTATTGCTTATTTTTTTTCTATTCGCGACAATGCTCGCACGATAAGAGAAGGGATTATAGGTTTCCGCAGGAATCACAACCAACCAGCTGTCACTGCATCAAATCAAGTGCAGGAGGATCGAGAAAGGCGTCACCGTGTTGCCATGCGTCAAAGCGAAAGCATCGTATCATCTTCCTATGTGTATCACAGATCGGTCTTTGCTGGACAACTAACCTTCCCCTGGAGACCTGAAGATGGATGGACTCTGCTGCAATCTCTCGGAGTGATGCTGAATGCCCCAAAACTAGATGCGTAACTATAGGCTACAAAGGTACGCCAGGAGAGTGAGTAAAGGGATGGAGAGGACAAAGAAGCCAGTGTGCGCTGAGAGACAAAGGGGTATGCAGCAGTCAGGTGGCAGCGCAAGAGCAAGTTCCCAACGTCTAGACTCGCCACCGCCAGACTTTTGGCAGAAAATTTTACCTCACTAACGGTTCACCCGCGGAAGCGAGCGTTGAGCGTGCATTCACCAAGCCCAGTGGCCAACACCTTGCGCACGTCCAGATCCACTCAGCCATGTCCGCTGTCTTACTTGGCCACGATTAATATCCAACTATAGCAGGCATCTGATATCACCAGCACGGAGGCACCATTGGCTAGGCCTGGTCACAAGGCAGACGAAATGGATCACTCGCTACCGGATGGGGACTGCAGCATACATACTTCCGGTTTGCGGTAATGCTTCGGTCATCCACATCACCTGTCTTTAGCCCGATAGGATGGCCTCTCCCGTTGGATGATCTGTCGGGGCTTGCGCATTGTCACGCATGGATTGCCGCAGCTTAACTGCCTCGAGGACACGGCTGCAGCATGAGTGGGTGCACTTAACCAGCGAGGTGGCAGTGATAGGTTGCCACTGTGGGTGAGCATGTGGCCGCATTTTCTGTCACCCCGGGCGGAATTGCCTGTGGGATCATCTGCCCGGTGATTAACGTGGCAGCAGGATGGGACAAGCCGCCGACAGGTCTCCTCACACATAAACGGGATTCACCACAAGCCCAGGTTGCATACTCTGTCCTGAAAGCGGGCTCACCCGGAAGCAGATGCTACATAGTCCAATCCGGTAGCAGTGACATCTCATAGTATCAGGCCACATTTTGAGACTTGTCCAGGATGATACTGGATTGCTCAGGGCTCTCATTATGCCAAGTTCCTATGGTAAACAAACATGATCAAATCGCCGCCACCCTAGGCCTTCCCCTCACCCCTGACCACTTATGAGTTAACTCCCACTATCTCATACAAACCTGGGATCATCTCAATCATATGCAGGCAGCTAGAGCTAGAGAGAATGCAGAGCGATATCGTGCCCACAGCTGGATATGAAGCATGCAATCTCCAAGCGAGATGAGTGAAGCCTATATTGTTCTTTTGCTCAGACCACTTTTATAGCCTCACTCAAGACTCTTTGACAAGAGCAGCAAAGAGATTCTTTGGAAAGTGCAGCGAAGTTACTCAGTGAGAAAGAGCTTAGGCTGGAGAGCTATATCACCAGGATCACGATCTCTAGATCATGAGTTGGGCTTCACTGATGGTCAGTAGCCTGTTCAAATGAAGGTCCTTGCTGTCAAACACAGCCTCACAAATGATAAGTCTCATGTCATTGTCTGGAGCGTCTCTTAATATGGCCGAACAGTCAAAGCGCAAACCATGACTATGTCAAGTTACATTTGACTGACGAAACTACAGGCATGGACTTGGTTGACATTCCTTGTGTTTTCACGACTCTTTCAAACAAAAACTTGCGATCTCATAGTCAATGTACATGGGTTGTTGTATCACGTAGTATACCTATCTACCTGCCTCAAATAGAATCTCGGAAAGATTACATGTCGGCTGTATTATAGGCCGAAAACCCACCCCTTCAATTACGTAGATATTTTTAAAACACAAACATCACTCCCTCGTATCTCTAATTTTGAGTTTTTGTGCAATGAAGTGTCGAGCACCCGTCCTGCGCTATGTCACTGAATGCAATGACATTCCCCTCCCCCATTCTCGACTAGTATTAAGTCGTAGTAGCCCCGGCCCCAACATAATAATCAAAAAAAAAGACCGAGAAGAAAAGCTGAGCCGCTGGGCCAGTGGAGCCCTATTCCAACTCTTCGACCACGCGACCGAGATTTTTTAGTCGCAAAACAAGGAACTACGAAGAAACTTTGAACAGACTTCACTACTTTTCATCGGGCATATGCGGCCAACGATTGAAACCTTCTTTCCGCACAACATGTAGTCAGCAAGAGTGGAGTTTCCGGTCAAATGCTTCCCATTAGTATACTTTCATGTACACACATACACTCGAGCTCACGATAATAGTTTAGTCGTTGCATCTGTTTCAGGATATTTAATGCGTCGCAATGCCGGATCCAGCACTCGGCAGTGGGAAGGGCGGGCTCCACTCTCACCCCCCCCCCCCCCCCATGCCCGTAAACGCTCACCGGAACACTAGTTTCATAGCCGCAACTCTTTTTTTTCCTCTTCTTTGCTGTTTAACAAGGGCATACAAGATCCCCGACCATGGAGGCAAAATGGTTTAGCAAATGATCACATGCCAGATTATCTCATGACATTGGACCGGGTCATTTTTTTTCTGTTTTAACTAGCCCCAAAGAAAAAAGAACGCGGCGAAGTCGCCGAGTTGGTAAGTAAGCAGTGATCTGCTTGCCCGGTTACCTCTTCTTGTCATCACTTTGTGGAGGGAGATATGCGAGTATCGTTCGATATGTCTTGCTCTTTAAACTAACTCTACCCACCCCCCTCCCCCCCTCCCCTTCCCGCTTCCAGGACATGACATGACTCTATCTACAAGGGCTGAGATCGGGAAACATTAGTCAAGTGTCCTTTTGTAGCGAAACCATATGACGTTTTTTGCCTCATCGGGGGGTCAGCACTCTGGGAC